AACGGGACAGAAAGGGAAACAAATTGGCAAAGCCATTTGCCTCTTGCCTTCTTTCTCGTGGGTCTGCAACTGCTCTTGGCAGCTACAGCTGATGTGTTGCTCTTCCAAAGTAAACAACATAAAATCTAGTTGCCACATACTACAGCGTAGAAGAATGTCAGGAAGACTGGTCTGGCCTGGGGAAACACTAACAGACTCAGCTACAGCCAGGCAGCACCAGGGAGAGAAGGGATGGATGCCTGTGGGAACTTCAAAGGAAAGGTCCTGTCTGTAAAGAAGAGAACATGATGGCTTCTGGTCTCTGCTGAGAGAGAACCTCTCCCTTCCAGCCACTTGGAAAAGTCCACTGTAACTTCAGGTGCAGCAGCTGCTTGGCCCCCATTGATGAACCCTCTTAATTTGCTTGTAGGACCTGAATTTTGTTAGCTGAATGACTTCTCTCCCCTCCCAATTTTCCAGCAGTTTTCCATGTCATTAACACAATGAGAGCTTGCAGCAAAGACAAGAGTTCAGATTTCACTAGATACCCTCAAGAGTGCATCTGGATTACCATCAGTGTAGCTTTTCATTTTTTCCCTTCACTATAACCATGGTGATTTGAATGAGCAGTATTTAAATGGCTGCAGAACAAGCACTGCACTGCCATGCATTGCAAAGGCTTTGCCTGAAACCCTGTTTTGCACAGAGAATGGTGGTTAAGCATCTGGAAATGGGGATGGTTTGTTGTGCTGCAGCATCTGGCATGGGGTGGATGGAAACCTGGTGTGCAAGCTGCTACAGTGCACATCTGACCACCTGGAAAGGAGCTGATGGATGGATAATGGAAGAGCCGTGCTGGACTATTTAAATATAATGTATTTTCTGTTGTCACATAAGGCTTCCCACAGGAATGTGAATACGAAAAAGATTCAGTGCAGTCTTGTCTGTGACAATCTGAGACATTTTGCACATCCAGCATCTTCCCAGCACAATGGAAAAGCACGAAGGAGAGCCTCTGAGCCGCTCGGCTCCAGAAATCACTCCACACAGCAGCAACCTCCAGTGAAACAGCCTCACAGCTGCTCCAAAGAATTCCAGCTGCTAACACATCCTCATGAGGAGCCATCTGCTAGCAAGAGTGCATCAATACTGTGCTGATATGCCTACAGCCTCCACCTCACAGGCTACAGGTGCACGCAGCACAGCAGGCCTTCGCCATCCAAAAAGTTTACGTAGTCCCTGGCTTGAAAGATGAGCCTTCCCTGCAAGCTTGCAAAGGCTGGGGGAATCAATCTTCCAAAACAACATCTTCCTGGGTACATTTGTTGATAGTAAATTAGTTTGTGCTCAAGAGCCTTTCTATGCACCCTCTGCATCCCACTTTCAGCCTCAGATAGGCCAGGAGTGAGGTACGTGTGACGTGGGCAGAGCTGCCAAGGACTAAACAATGCTCCTCTCCATCTCTGCTCACCTGTGTTTGCCAACAAGCCACACACAGATGAAAGAGCAATGGCCACAGTGGACTTCAAGCATCCAGAAAAAGCCACAATAAAAGGCTGGGAAGGAAAATCCCCTCCCAGTGTGTGTTTGGGGAGGCATGGTGAGAAGCTACACACACCACCCCAGAGGCAGCTTTTTGGGGTCACTTCATACTAAAGAGATCTTTAAAGGGCAGAAGAGATCCCCATTCTGCAGGAATCCTTAAAAATTCTGTGTAAATATACTGAAGAAGACATCAAGCAGAACTTCTTCATAAGGGCCTAGGTAAAAGCATGCTACTTTTGGGGATGGTACCTCTCATGAAATGGAAGCCAATATCTTCCTGCAATCAGTGGCAGGCACAGAAAACTCTTGCAGCTCTGAACAACATATCCCACATACACAGGCTCACATCTTTTCCTGGCTACATGCCTCAAAAGCAGGACTAGAGCACAAATCTTGCTGTCTCAGTGGGCACAACCCACTGAACTGGCTCAGTACCAACCTGTCATATAGGGAGGATGCCACTGGCACAGGGTGAAGGACCCACATATGTGGCTACCCTACTTCTCTCCTGAAATGCTGGGCTAAGCCAGAAAAGTTAACAAGGACAAAAATAAACAGCTCCGTACTCAACAAATCTCTTGCTGGGTAACCCCTGGGTAACCAGTGCCCCACTGCAGGAATGTCACAATCTCCCATGCTGGCACAATAATCCAGGGACTGTTCCTGAAGGTTAGGGAAGTTTATTTTTACAACTTTGCACAGTGCCTACAAATCTATCAGCCACACAACATCTGGTTCAGGCACTGCCCTTTGAATGGTTTTTCTGTTGGTGCAGTAATTAAAGGTATCCCAGGTGACACCTGATCCCTTATCAAGTTCATTAATTTAAGTGGAGTTATTTGGCTCTCTATTTTCCATACTTCATAATGTATTTCTAACCTTTAAAGTGACATAGGCAAGGACCAGATTGCAGGGGTGCTTATTAACAGCCTATTAAAATATTTTATGGCCTTTATTTTTACGTTGCCATAGGGAATCAAGTATTTTGCTGTTGTTAAACAGGCTCAGGATTTATGTTGCGAGAGCTTCACCACAGCCTAACGCAGAGTAATGCTAGGAAATGAGCTGGGAGAACAAGCTCTCATTCAGCTCTCCATGTGCTGTAAAGCTGTCACATGCAGATGGCAGCAAGGGGCCCTCCAATGTAGGCCCTTGGTTTGGTTTGTTTTATTAAATATAAACTGATAGAACAAGACCCAAGGCTCTGGGACCTGGGTGCCTTTTTACTAACCCTGTAGACCCATGGAGGGTTGCTCAGATAGGATCTTTGTGGTCCCCTGTGAAATAAATATTCTGTGGCTTTTTATTCCAGAGCTGCTGTAACGCATCCATGTTTTGCAACTGACTTAGAGCCAATGACTTTGCAGGAATTCCACGATCTTACCTCCAACAAGACTATGATTGTATTTAGAGGACAACTATGATCTTACTGAAAACTTTTCTCAAGATTGCAAGCCCCTTCCTCTCTAGGAAGCTCCCCTCCAAAGGGAATTCCCCTGTCTGTTACAAATCTGTACTTCCTCCTAACTTAAGCACACCCAACACTGAGACAACACATGTCTTGAATTTAGAGAGTTAATGATGTCCTGCTTAGGTATTCAGAAATTACAATCAAGTCTGTTGTGAAATGCTTGGTTTGATAAACTTCCTGGGGTGAGCCTGGGGTCTTCCTGAGTTTATATTATGTTGCTCTTATTTTCTCAAGCATAAAAAGTAATTTGTAATGAAGCAATGCATTTGGAAGATCATCAGCAACATACTTAAAAGTATTTTAATTGCTTGTGTTTTCAAAACGTTTTAATGAAGTCAAATCAGGAATAGACACTCATCTGCCAAAGAGCCTATAAAATATTTTACAATGACATTATAATTGATGCAACTGGTTGTATAAATTCCTGGCATTTTAAACAAAGATACTAGAGATTAGCTCAAGAAGATTATTCAGTAGGCATTTATTATTTCTGCTTTAATTATAAGGGTTTTGTTGTTTTTCTTCTTCCCAGTTTTTAATTTAAATGTCATACTGTAAGATGATTTTGTGTGGGTAATCTAAAAGAGACTGCTCTCAGCGAGCAATCCCACAGCACTAGTGCATGACAAGTAGCCATATTAATAAATACTATTAAATGTACCATGCCTTTAATGCCTCATTCAAGACCAAATGACAGACTCTCTATCTGGGATCAATCCTGGACATCCAGGAGGGATTTCTCCTCTAATTTCATTTTACAGCAGAGCAATGGCAGGAAGAATTGAGGCTTCCTGCAGAGCAGACTCCCTGTAACCTGGGTGAACAAGGGCTCTGAGGGTTTCTGAGCTCACTGGGTCTCCTGCATTTGTGCAGACTCCAATTCCCTTTCCTCCCAACCCTTGAGGGAGAAGCTGCACCTAAGACACTAAAACTTCACCCACAGGACCATGCCAGGTCATGGCACACCAATGGCACTGCAAGCTCTGCCTGCTGAGAAAGCTTTTTTGGGGGGCCTTGACCTGGTTCAAATTAAAGCTGCATTTGCAAGAGCAGCTCAGCAGTAAGGACAAAAGCCTTGCTGAGAGCTGCCTTGCAAGTGTGCAATTCAGACATCTTCTAAAGAGCTCCCCTTATGCCTCTTCTCCCTCTCCTACCACGAATGAGAGAGGAGAACCCACTTCGAGCCGTGCTGCACCACACTCTTCTTTCCTGGGTGAGCAGTAAAGCGCTGACTCCCAACAATTTCCTCCTCCTGAAGCTCATTAGATGGTTTTATTAATTAGCAGGCTCCCAATCTTATCATGCACTGCACCTGAAATCTGGCTTGTGTTTTTGAAGAGAGTAATTAAAGCCAGAGGTAGTTGAATAAACAGGCACTGACAGAGACTAATACCCTACCAATATAATGAAGCAGCTTGCTAGACAGTAAGATGCCCAGGCTCAGATGTTAACCCAGTGCAAGGGCAAAACATGCTTTGGCTGGCAAGCACATCCACCTGCTGATGTGGGCACCTCCAGGAAAATCCTGGATAACTTTGCTGAAAGCAATATCAGACTCCGGGGGAAAATTTGGGTCATGGAATCTGTCAGGAGCCAAAACAAACAGAAAACAAGTAAGGCAGCTGCCCTCAGAGCACACAGAAGTAGTAATAATCAACTGTTTCAACACCTTCCCTGTAGAGACTGCAATAATTGGCTGGTAATTATTGGGCATAATTTCCTTTACGTATACTAGAAGGTTACCTGCTTCAAGGACAGTAAATGTAGCTTTGCCTCCTTCATGCAAAATTGAATGGAAAATGCCAACAATTGCAGCCAAATCCCAGTATAGTTTTTCATCATCAGCCACTTGGTGTCTTTTAGAAACCACTCTGCAGTGCCATAGCCCAAGGTATTATCCCTGGTTAGCACTGCTGCTGCCAGAGCTGGCTCCCCCGTTTTGCACCTCAGAGGAATGAGGGAATAAACAGCAAAAGACAGAAACAGGGAGAGAAAAACCACTTACTTGATATTGTCAAGACATCCAGATTCAGGTTTCAGTATGGCAGTATGATGAAACATTTTATAGAGAGCAATCCCAAGGAAGATGACATTAAGCTGTAATGGAGGGGGAAGAAAAAAAAAGGATTATGTGACACAGCACAACAGGGTGGGGAGAAAGTCAGCTCCTTCTCTGTAACAGATGGGTTATTGTAGGAAATTAGCTCATGGTACAGCTTTAGTGACTGAATGACAGAGAATTTCTAAGAATTTTATAAGGTGACTTGGCCTGTAGATTACAGGACCGGTGATGCCATAGCCTTACCACAGCTGTGGCACTGCTGATACAAGGCTGGTTCTAACCTCAACTGTACTGCTTCAAAGAGCATTATGGAAAATTAAAAAGAGTAAGGGCTTCTCTGTGTCTGAGATATGTACAGTTGTGAAAAGTCACTCCCAGCATCTTACTCAGCCAGCCCCATTGTAATGAAGCAAAAAAGCATCTTTTTTTTGGTGAATACACCTATTAAACACATCGGAACAGGGCACATAGGCAGGGAAAGCACAATTGATTGTACTTTGCACAATGCAAAGTTGAAAAACAAAAATAAAAAATTGTTTGATTTTTTCTGTAAAAGATGCGATGGTGTTTCCATGCTTCAGCGCTCACAAGGCGGCCAATTCCTGGAAAGGAGTTTCCCAAAAGCCCAGTCTAGGATTTGAGACATAATCAAAAAGGGAAGATATCTTTTTATGAATGAATTGCTTAAGGGGGAAAAAAATCCCAAGAGTTGTAGTAGGTGGCATGCCCCCCTTCCTGATGTGGAAGGTTGCTGAAATGGCTCCCAAGTTGCAGGAGAAGCAGAAGAAGCAGAGACAATGTCTGCATTGAAGCCATAGTGCCTGGTTTTCTGTGCTAGCCAAACTGTAGCCTAGTCAAAACAAAGGATGGTTTATTTAAGCCATATTGTAGCGATTAAAGTATAAGAAAACTCCAGCTGTCTCTGAAGTTGGGTTCTCTACCTTGTTGCTGTGTTAGCTGATATGCTGGCAATGTGCTAAACATGAAGTCACACAAGTTTCAACTTCTGCTGGTTAGGAAAAACCCTCAACAAACTTTTTTTCCAGTTTGGACTTTTCTTCATCCCCCCCTCCCCTGCTCCCAGATTTCCCTTTTTTTTTTTTTTTTTTTTTTTTGTTATCAATGCAAAAGTTCACTCTGGAATTCAAAAAAGGTGTAAGCAGTGAGTGGCATCAAAACAGTTTAGCACTTCTAAATGTTCAGTGGTAAAAACCAAACTCTGCAAGTGCCTGTTCTGAAGCTCCCTGGTCCATTTTGATCAAGTATTTTGCAATGCCAAGAGCCTCTCATAATGAGGGTCTAATTGCTATGCCAGGTAGGGTCAGAGAAGAACATGCCTTCCTCAAATTAATCTGTGTAAATTAAAGATAAAGAGAAAAGGGACAGCAAAAGTTTTATTTCTTGACCTGAGAGATGGAGTAGTTAATTAGGAGTTCTTACCATAATTATCAAGGTCGCTGGTCCTATAAAGCTCCAAATGAAGTAGGTGTCAAGTCGGAGCCAACATCTGTAATGAAACACAGGGGAGAGAAGGCATTCAAGGACTGCACCCAGGACATACATCAAGAGTGAGAGAGTGACAGAGAAGAATGTGAGCTGCAAAACACGCCGGTGGGAGACAGGAAATATTACATTGCTTGTTCATTTAAATGCTGAATTATGTGCCCAATTTCTGACAGCGCTATTGATGGAGTAAGATAATTACCTCCAGAGGAAGCAGGGAGAAAATGGCACAAGGCCTATTTGCTAAGGCCTTCTGCATCTGTTGGAAAAACTCCTTAAACCGTGGGTTTTTTTAAGGAAGGGGTCTGATGAATATCCACAGAACTTCTTTGCTTTGTGCTGCTCTTTGCTCTCCAGCTCTGATGCAATGCAAGCTGTCCGTCAGCTGTCAAGCAAGATGATATTTCTCTAGCAAGTACATCAGAGAAACTTTGGTGCAAATAGGAAGCATGTATTGGATAACAGAAGGCTGAGGTTTAATTAGGTTCAGCAACTTCCCCTTTAAAGTGTTTTATTTCCCTGAACCTCCTGAGTATTTTGTTTCCACTAATGTTTCCAGGGTTGCATATGGTCTGCGCTATCACAAGAAGTTGATTCATGGCCTAAAACTAAATTATTAATCGCTTAATTTCAACCGCATTTAATACTCCCCACATTTTTTAAAGCCCCTGGGAAATTACATTTCCATTCCTAGTTCATTCCAGGCGACAGGAAGATAAAATGGAAGTGACTCGTTACAAGACAGACAAATGTAAATTCCAAGAAAGTTCCACATGATGTTTAAAATAATAATATCTCGTCGTCTTTGCAATGCTGCAAATCACAGTTCCGTTTATACACAAAGGACTGAGAAAGCATAAAACCACTCTTCTACTAAACATCCGACAGAATTTCATGATTAGGCAAGTGACAGGAACTGTATATATGAATTTATCATGGTGGTGGAGATAGCAGTTCTCACAAATGACAGCTCTAGTGTATGTGCCTAATGCTTTTTCCCTTCCAATGGACTTTGCAACAGGCAGAAAGGTCTGTGCCAGCAGCCCCATGGGAGATGATCAGCAGGAGATGCCTGATGAGAGAATAAAGCATGCCCTGAACCTCTGTGGCTGGGAGAAGCCAAAATATGAATAAATTCAAATATGCAGAGAAAACTTCTCACTTCCCTTCCTGACCATATAAATTTCAGGTCTCATCAGCATTGGAGATGTATTGATATACGCACACACTCATAAGGCTATTTGTCACAAATTAAAATACTGTCACTTCCATAACTGTCACTCCTGAACTGCCTCTGCAGTTGCTCATCCAGAATCCTCACGTGATAGCAGCAAAATCTTAATGCAAGAGGCAAACAGAGGCTTTCAGAGCTATTGCTGGGAAATCTTGTTTCCTCCCTGGCTGCTGAAGTTCAAGGTGATTTAGATGCAGCTGGTAATGGAACAACATGAGTGACTCGAAACTACTTGAGTCTGATTCCCTATAGGAAAAGGTTTATGCCATCATGACATCTGCGTATCACCCATAATGCTATCTGAAATGTCACCCAATTGCAACTAGATTTGACAAAGGAATAGAAGTTTCAAGGATAATGAAGTCCCTGTAAAAAGTGCCCCCGCCATTCCGAAACAAGGATGTCTGCATAGCAGCAGCTCACATATTTACACGGCGTTTCAGACTTTATACCTACCCCATCCCCCTCAGGAAAAATGAGTAACTGGTGCTTATGCCTCAGCTGCTGCATATAAATCACAGAATACGCAGCCCCATCACTTTTTTTCTACTGATAATGAGTGCTGGTGTGTGGGAGAGGACTCAGAGGGTTGTGGGGGTTTTGTTTTTTTTTTAATGAAAATATTTTGAACTTTTTTTTGACAGTTTAATATTCAAAACAACCCCTAGCCCCTGCTGCCCAGAAGTTGAGAACACTGTATTTTAGTCACCATCAACTTAGTTTTCCTTCAGCATAAAGAGTGACCTGGATCTTGGAAAGAGGAAAAACATAAACCCTCTCTTTACTTCTTGAAGCACGGTGATCACCCTTCAGTCACATCTGGTGCAGCTGGTTTTGAATGAATATAGATTGGGACATAGGGAAAAACAGGGAAAGCTGAAATTCAGGATGAGCATAAAGCTGTGCCAGGCTCAGCAAAGAAGAGCAAAGCAACTGGTACCTCTTCCAGACAGCAAAAAGAATGAAATTTTCTACCCCACTCCCTAAAATATCTGCCTCTTCATTTATAGAAAACAACTGAGGATGCTGTGGATGAGAAAAAGCAGAGGAACCAGGTCCTGCCATCAGGGTAAGCGGGGTCCAGGCATGGAGCAACAGGAGCCCCAGGAGAGATGCCTTCACCTAAGCTGAAGCACAGCTTGTGAAAAACAGAGAAGGCTTTTTTAGGCCTCTCTGCACACTTCAAAGAATGCAATGTCATTTTTTATTTGTTTGAATGGAAAATTTGCCTTTCTGTGAAACAGTGTACAATACTCAGCCTTGGGGGACTTAAAAAAAATGGGGTTCTTGGTGGTCATCAGGAAGAGATGAAACTCTGAACCTGTTTAAGTCATACCTCATTAAAAATGCAAATTAAGACCAAAACATCAAAACACAGGCATCCCGCCAACTGCGTTGTGGAGCTGTAAATTGCTAATCAGACAAGTACCACACTGAGCTTTTCTTGCCTTAGAAGACAAAAACCCACACGCACAATGAGCTGCATAAATGAGCTCCTCCAAACAAGGAAGCAATCAGGCAACTCACTTCCCAGAGTTGCTAATCTTGGGCTGCTGAGTTACTTGTGACCCTCCACGAGCAGCTGCGCTGTGAGCACGGACTTGCCACATTACGAGTTTAGGCTGTGCTGCCATTGAGCAAACACTGAGCCTTCAGGGCTCAGTGCAAGGCAAGGGATTATCAGGAAATATGTGTATGTAGGGAATACTGCTCAAAACCCCACTGCTTCTTCTAGGAGTCACCCCAATGCATTCACTTCTAGTGACAAGCTCTGTGGCACTGCTCTCCTTTACTTTTTAATTTCCTCCTTTTCCACAGTGGCAACTCACAATATTCACCTAAGGCTTTGCCCAAGTAATAAAGACTACAAAGAGTTTACTCTATTTTCTGCATGAAGAGAAATCAAATACTAAACTATCCCCGGTGTGCATTAAATATAACCAATAAACAATCATTAGCTGCCATTGGACCATAAAATTTGAAGAGCCCTAAACATATCATGTTGTTCATGGGAGCTCAGTGGTTTGTTTCATGTGGCTGTACAGCCTCCTTGTCAGGGTGCAGCAATGGGATATGCATGCACCAGACATGCCTTCCAAGGGTGCAATATAGGTTCTGCTTAATGGAGTTCAGCATCCACATAGCTCACGCTTCCTCCTCCAAATGCTGGCAGCAGCACTGCAAATAAAACAAGTTCAGTGGAGCCACCCAAGACAGAGCACATTGTTAGATGCTATTTTCTGAGCAGCATTTACATGCATGAAATGTCGGCGCCTGGCTGATGGACTCGGAGGCTGTGTACGTACACAGGGCTTTCATTTTGCTTTCTGACAGCTGGATTGCTTACCATGTATATCCTGCTTTATAGCATTCCAAAAGGGGGGAAGAAGGGGAGAGAGACAAAAGAGAGATCCTTGCCATGATGGATTTGATCACCAGTGAATGAATATACCTACAAGTTTCTAAAATATATTGAACAACTCAAAGTGTAGCTGCTTTCCTCTGCAATTTGTGAGAGGCTTTGATACAAAACCCAGGGAAGTATGGAAATATGGAATAGTTTCTTGCTGCTGATTTGGGATGGCATGCTTCTAGCATAAGTCTTCTCAAAGGCCGCTAAAGCCATAATTGAGCTTTTACTGAATTTTAGATGCAAGTGTAGTTTTCAAACACTAACTACAAATGCAAATACTATTTTCTATACTATTTTCTTTGCATTTTGCAGCATTGCCCACCATGACCCTTGACATCATACCCATTGAGGAAATGGATGGACTTGATTAACACATGGGATAAGGCAAATTATTTATTTTTTAATTTATTTTTTTAAGTACAATACCAGTATCTTCTTTTTTGCAACCTAACTTGAGCTGTGGCCATTTCAGACCCAGCAGCTGAAGATATGGCCTGCATGAAATAGTAACCTGGAAGCTTATGAGAGCACTGCCAGAATCTCTTTGGCAGTGGGGGGGAACCACACTGTCTACAGTGGGGTTTCCTGCTTTTCATCTTCATTTGAGAGATTAGAATCAGAATAAGGAGAGATGCAACATTTCTGATTTATCTCAAACACAGTTGAGCTAGCCTGAATGGGATGATCTTTTAAGAGAATTTTTGCTGCTGCTTAGTCACAAAAGCAAATTAATCTCCTAATATAAGGGGTTTGAACTGTTCTAAAACAAACAAACAAACAAGCAAACAAACACAAAGAACTAGGAAAAGGATCAATCCCTATCCTTGAATTAATTATAAGTGTATAAGAATATCTTTATGGAGTAGCTACTCCAAAATGCCAATATGAGTAATAGGACATGGGATACTTCAAGAAAACCACAAGCACCAAGTGATGAGTAAAGCAACAGAGGGAGGAACAACTGCCTGTTCCTGGCTATGTAATGTGGGCATGTGTTACAGGAGGGTTGGATTTAGAAAGGAAAATGAAATCAAGAAAACCCTAGACTGCATGTTTAAGCAAATCATTCTGAGATGTATGAATGGTGGCACCAAATGCCAGGCAAAAAACAAATAACACTAACAGCTCCATAAGTCCTGCTTAAACAAATGCAGTAAATAATGGAGGGAGGCAAGTAATATATTCCAGAGGATGTTTTACAAAACCTGGCAAAACCAAGCAACTTCTTGCAATCAAATTATGCATGCCTGGCATATAGTTCACTACAAATTCTAATCAGTTCTACCCTTCTAATAACATTATACTGAAAAATACATCATCATCCATCAACCAGATGGAGCATGATAGTTATACAAAACATATTGTATGGTTTTTATTTTCCTCTGTGAGAACGTGATAAAATTGTACATTCTGGAATTAAAAATTATAAATAAATATTTTAGATTTGCAAATCCCTGTAAATATTTGTTTGCAAAATATTATATATACATGTTTAATCATTTAAAATACCACTTAGTGCTGTGGTGAGGGAGACATATTTTATTGGCACACACACAGGACTGCTGCCTCTTCAATGCCAAGACAGCGAAGTGTTCGCCTTCAGGGAATTTCAGCCAAACTTTCTGCCTGCACCTTCCATGCCATGGAAACATTTTGGCAACCAAGGTCTATTTGCAAAAGCCAAAAGGGTGAACAGTGTGGAAAGTAGCCACAAGATACTACACTGTAAACTGGACAGGTTAGGACAGTGCTCCAGCAATGGCAGATGTGCTGTCCTTTCCAGACTACTGGAATATGTTTGAGGCTTAACGTGCCTGATGTAGGCCACTGTGAAGAGCAATGTCCTCCACAGGAACACCACAGTTAAGAATAAATTTGTCTAAAGGGACAAGGCAAACTGTTTCCATACCTGATTTAATAGGTGCTTATATAATGCTCAAGAGGGGGAGTGAATAGAAGAGCTTGTTGGGGCAGGAAGCAGGTGGCAACTGATGAAAAATCTCCTTCACAAATGGCAATCAGCTGTTGTGTTACCTATTCTTTGCCCTCTAGGCCTGTAAAAGTCAGTCAAATTACTTTGGATAAATTGGTAGAGATCCTAAAAAACTTACACCCTCCTACCCTTATCTGTAGGAGATTTCCTTTCCTTTCCATGAAGTGTGACATTTATACAAATTCAGGTCACTGCTCTCCCACTCATGGGAGGAACACAACACAAATATCCATCTGGGAGCCAAGCTTGCCTGCTGGCATGGTAATGGATCATGAGCAGTTCCACTGCTCTACAGATCTGCTTTTTCAAAAAATAAAGGTTCATATATACAAATAAGGTTTCAGGCAAAAAATCTGCTGTTGAACCTAACAGAAAATCAAATGCTGCCATGGCCTAACCTGATCTATGCCAAAAAAGAGCTTCAGAACCAACAATGGCTCTTTACTCTATATGCCTTCATATTGAGCCCTTAACTCAGTTAAAGTGAGACTGAAAAGGCAGACTGACTGAAAGGGAAGAAAAGAAAAAGGTCAATAAAAACACACTGTTAATCCTATTGTAGCAAAGATGGCAAAGAGAATCAAACATTCAATCTTCCCCTTGTTTTCCATTCAACAGTGTTGCATGATAATCTAACTTGTGCTTTCATACCAGCCTCAGCAATGTTAAAAACACTTAAGAATACTCGTAATGATAAATGATATGGCTGCTCTGATTTGCAAAGAGCCTAATGCTTTCCATAGTCACCACCTATTTTGCCTGCAGGCTCTGTTAATTTGATAGAACAGTTTTAAAGAAAGAGGAAGAAAGCAGTACCTTCATCCAAATATGAAATATTCTTTGGTTAGAGAAGGAGGATCTTGCTGATATAGTACCAAACTGAAACTAGGGACAGTGACCTCTGCTGATATTATGCAATGATGTGACAAAATTTTCCTCGACTGACTTCCCTAGAAAATACCTTTGCAAATCATTTCATAGCGGGGAATTTGTCCTACAAGAAACAGAGATAAGGCAAGGTACGCCTCCTGGCTGAGTTCTGCCTGAACAATTCCTCTGGGCTCCCCATGTCCATTTGTTGCCCCCACTCCCATCTCTCCTGAGCAGGTCCAGGCAAAGCCACGGTCACTCACACTTTGTCCGTGCCGTAGCTCCGGTAGTCCACGGCTGCCGACACGGCCACAATCAGCGCAGGCATGCCGTACCCCACCAAGTAGAAATACTTCCTCCGGGAGTGCTCGCTCTCAAACACCTCCACCAGCATGATGTACAGCTGCACACCCTCCAGGAACATCCAGGTGAAAGCTGCCAGGAAGAAGAAGTGCAGGAGGGCAGCGAAGACGGCACAGGCAATCTGTGTGAGGATTGAAAAGAGCAAGGAAAGCTGTTTGTAGCATGATTAATTAATGCAACAGTCAGGAGTACTCTTACTTGGAGGCTTAATAAAAATGAGGGTGTTCTTATCTTCCCTCTCCAAAGGAAGAACTTTTTTACACTTGGGAAATATGTGTGAATTGTTTTAAAATAGTACAAGCATATATAAGTGATACTAAAAGATACAAAGGCAAGCACATACACAATCATGCAAATAAGCAGATGAAGATGTACACAGTATAAGCTCATTTTTACAACCTGCTTATTAAACATACACACACATTGACAAGCAACACACATACAGCCCCTGAAATCACGGCAGGCATCAGCATGTGAATCCCAGTTATTAACCAGGGGCCCAGCCCTTTGAGGACTCGTGCATGGCATGAAGACAGTGCAGGAATGTTTTTCACTGGTCAGACACAGCAGATGCACTGAGACAAGAGCCTGTGACAGACGCAGGAAGTGCTTTGTCTCTTACTGGCTGGTCAGTCCGGTTGATGCCGATGAGGAAGAGGAGCTCAGCCACGAAGAGGCTGATGCACAAGTTCTTGTGAATTGTGTTGCGGTCGCTCTGCAGCCCACGGAAGAAGCAGAAGGTGAAGATGCAGATCAGGAGGCAGACCAGGGAAAGCAGGATGCCAACCCATGTGATGAAGTCCAGGAGCAGGTCATGGACTGCATCGCTGTGCTGAAGGTAAAACAAAAAAATCTCATCAGGTGCATGATACATGACTTCTAATGCACACAGAGTGAGGTCGTCTGTGGCACAAGGCATGAGTAGCAAAAAGATTAAATGCACCTAAACTTGAACCCTGCAGCAAGAAAACTGCAACCTGAAACACGGACTCCAAAGCATCTTGCAAGCTGCAGGTACCCTGAACAGACTCTGACCCCAAAACCTTGCAGAAGCATAATGCTGTTGATGAAAATACTGAGATATCAGGGCTAGTCTTGCGTGCGACTCAATCTTGCACAAGCATGGCAAAGGAGTGCCTGGACACCCAGTATACAGAACCATTGAACAGAGTGATTCAAGTGTAAAAAAGCATTTCATGCTAACAACATCATGTCCAACAACTGCAAGTCCATTACAATCATTTGCCAACAGTGAAAAAAGACTCTCTTTAAATGTTCAGAGATGTATGAGCTCGGAGGCTTTGGAAAGAAAGAGATTGCTTAAATTTTTTTTTCTTTTTTCACAGGGTAAGGAGAAAGGAAGTTTGATTTTTCTTTTTCAAACCCTGGAGTTATATTTTAGAGCTCCTGGGAAGTCAGATTGATCCTGAGAACGTTACCCAGAAAAAAAAGACAGACCTTTTAACACAAATTTGCTTTTAAACTGTAACAGAACAGTGATTTTAAGACAGCCTGGAAAGTGACTGATTCCCTGTGATGAACTTTTAACTGGATGTACTTCAAAGCCATGCAAACAAAGCCAGTGCAAAACTAGGCAACAAAGTTTTCTGAGAGTCAGGATAGGTGAACCTTGGCTCTGCTGACAAAACACTGCTGCATTGCTCCTGAGCTTACACTGCATGACTCTCATGGAAAGGGAGGCACATGATGAGACCTTCCTGGTGAGCGCATTGCACTTGCCTATTCAGGCTGTAAAACTCGTATGTAATTCCCCAAGTTTAACGGACAGTAATGATATCTATAATTTCACCAGATGTGGTGAAATTATAGATATCATTACTTAACAAAATGTAAATAAAACACAAGGAATACATGATGAGCCATGAGAAAATTGCTTGGCTAAGTAGTTAGAGTCAATGACCTGGGGAACAGACTGGCTGGAAATCTCTGGGGGCATTTCACAAAGACCAGAGTAGCTCAAAGCCCAGCTTTGTGATCCACCAGATTGTGTTATAAATGGTAATCACATTCTCCACCATTTCTGGCATTTTGATGACTTGGGCATTACGTAGGCTGGCAAACACAATAGTGTCACACTTCAAAAAGCCAGGGCAAAGTGGAAACATTTTTCTCTCTATGGGATAAAAGCTTATGACAGATGGAGGGAAAAGGTGATTAATTTATCCACTTTCTTTGCCTGCTGGCCAATGATAAAGTTGCATAAAATGTCAGGCCTTTCCTGATATACACTCTGCTATGTCGGCACACACAAGAAACATCTCAAACCTTTCAGCTCTTTGGCTTTACCAGCATAAGTGAAAGGCATCAAATGATAATGAAAGACAGGGAGTGATTCTCTGCTCCATCCCTTCCATGCTGGAAGTTTTGTCTCCAGGAAGACTTGGAGGTGGAGAGATGGAGGGCTCCTTTGCCCAAACCCCCTTGCATCTCTTTCCAACTATTTCCAATACCTAAGGAACTAGAGGTCGCCAGTCCAATGGGGAGACAAGAAATCATTGTGTGCTTTCTGTGGCTCATGACAGAAATGCCTATTCCAGCCAGCTCATCCAGCAGCGCCCAGAAACCTGACAAGATGAAGCACATCATTTCCCTGGCAGCTGCGCATTGCTTTATCTCAGTGTCATTCCAGATCATCCATCCCTCTTAACTCTGCGGAAAAATGTTAATGCAAACCTTGCACCTTGCAAATCATTCTTTCTTTTGTCTGAGGCTGCAGGGGGATGGCAGGAGAACATCTCCCTGAACAAGCCCTCATCTGATTAGACTGGCCTGCCAGCCTGAATTGACCAAGAGTGCAAAGGAGAACGTATGTGGCCCGAAGTTTAGAATCCGACTAGCTGAGGGCGAAAGGCCGACGCCCCTCTGCAATTCCTGGCCAGCACCCTTCGGCGTCTGATGGCCTCGGGCTGTGCTGGCTGCGGACTGGCGTACCTCGCTGGTATAGGAGAGGAACGGAGCTGACCATTTCCCGGGGGTTAAACATCGGTTTATTGAAGGTGATGCCGGATCCAAAAACACCGGGAAACCAGCCGGGAAAAAGTTTTTTTCATAGGGGGTGAAAACAGGATTATAAAGGAGGGGGGTGGGTACAGGCGGAGCCAATCGGGAAAGGTGAGGGGATGAACTTCACAGAACTGACACTCCATGGAGACCAATAATCAAAAGGTAAAGGAGGTGTCCTGGGACCCCAGCCAACCACCATCTCCAGAGAGGAGAAGGTTCTCGAAACCTGGGAGGAGGAAGGGAGTGATTGACTGGACAGGGAGGAAACAACTTTCACTTATAAGGGAAACCAGGGGAGGAGCAATTACATATCGGCAACTATGAATAGCGGTTGCTATAGCAACTTAGCTGGCAGGCTAACGGTGGCGGGAAAGAAGGGGGAACGAAACCATTTTACACATAATAGGGGAGAACAATACATAAATTGGGGGAATAACACAAGAAACTTAACAACACACTACCACACCAAGAGCTCTTGGAGAAGGCAGCTAATGCAGGTAGATGCAGGGAGAAAGAAACCAGGCAGACTTTGGCCAGATGAACACACCCCACCCAGATGGGGCCAGATTCATCTACCCCAAGACAAATTTAGCATGGTGCAGGGAAAATTCTCCAAGGGCTTCTTCTCTCATTGTTTCCATCTCCTGCACCTCTGATCACAATACCACAACTCTGCTGAATTTAAGACATGATGCAGGAATTAAAGGTGGTTTTGCTCTTGGAGAGGGATTCTACCATCTAGGTTCTTTGCCTTCTTCAGGGAAGGGTTGCTTGCCCAAGAAGCTCACCATGTTTAGCAGTAAATATGCTTCATTGCTGTACCATTATTATTATTATTATTATTATTATTATTATTATTATTATTATTATTATTATTATTATTACTATTACTATTATTACTATTATCACTCTTACTGCTTTTCTTTTTAATATTAATCATAAAGATAATACTGATTTTATGTAGGTAACACTCATCCCTGGAGTGCTGGGAAACAACCATAAAAACAACTACTCCATAATTACAAACTCCCTCCCCAAACTCAACAAACTCACAGAAGAACAAACAGAAAGGAATGATAACAATGAACTGGGAACAAGAGCAATTTAAAAACACCTCAGGGGAAAAAAATATGAATTTGTAGCTTTTCTAGTAAAGTCCAAGAGAAGAAGTGAGCTGAATTTTAAAGCCTGGGTACACTCCAGCCTGTTTGAGATGTCAGTTTCAGGTGCTACTGCAGAGCAAAAGGATCAGGGAGACTTGATAAGCACTGGCATCCTTTCCATGGCAGTGCCAACTGCTCCCTCAGGGTAGGCACATCCAGAGCTTGTACATCAGCAAATGCAACAAAAGGCAACTTGCCTTTTGCTGGAGACTGAAACCTGTAAATTACTACACTGTTATATCAATTGGAAAAATATGGGAAAGGGAACAACAGTGGTAACCTCTTCCAGTGCCATGAGGTTTTCCTTGCCATCACCTGATGGCTGTGTGACAAACAAGGAGCAGCATAATCTGGCTTACACAGCTGGTATATGGAGTTCCAGGGTTAAATATGATACAGGGCACACCAAGATTCTGTATGTAGGTCTCAGCCTTCAAGCCTGTTTTCTTTACCACAGAAAAATGCAAGAAGAGCAAATTTTCTCTTTACCTGTCCAGCACAGTTCAAAACTCCTTGACTGAGGATAAAACAGCTCAGATGTGCATGGTAACCACTGTGTCACAGCATGGTGAAGGTTGGAAGGGACCATCAGTAGGGTCATCTGGTCCAAGCTCCCTGCTCAGGTCCAAGTGGACTCTGTGCCACTGATCATGACTCTCTGGGATCTGCCATTCCCAGAAGATCCCCAGGAATATCTTTCCAGCACACTGAAAGCCCTAAGGTCTCTAGAGCATCCAACATACACCTGAGACCACCAGTGTATTGACTACAGTCACCTCTTGCTTCTCAATGATCCTCCCAAATACTTTGGCAACCAGCAGTGCCCATGAGAAATACCAGACATCAGTCCAAGAGACAATTCCTGACAGTATCAACCAAACAACTCCTTGCCCAAATGCAACATGGCTCTCCAGACTGGAGCTACGTGGCATAGCATGCAAGACACTGAGGTTTGTTGCCACTGAGCTACACTCACTTCACAAAATAGGCTGACACACAGATTATTTTTAGCAGACGAACAACTTACTAAGTTGTTCTTTACAAAAAACAACACACTTCAGTGACAGGGTTTCTATAGTAAGTATGTTTTTTACATTTATGATTTAGAAAATGCAAAGCCCAGTGAAAAGAGATGTCTCTGGCTTTGGGATAAAGACCTGTTTTTTTTCGAGTGAGGCTAAGAGCAGTAGGAGGAGAGTGCTGACAGGGATTTGTGCAGGAGGAGTAACAGGAACACTGGTAGCAACCACAGCAGGGTGAGCAGGCAGCCCCAATATTATCCAGGCTGGGAAAATCAATGAGCAGTTCTGGCAGTGTCTGTATACCACAGCTGAGCTAATAAAAACAAATCCCAGGGAATGTCAGCTTATGACAGAATGGCTCTCCCTGAGATGAACAGCCATTTCCTCCCTTATTAAAAACATCAGCAGAAGAAAACAGCAGCCAAACCAAGCTGCCAGCAGCAAAGGACACATTCCTTTGCCTAATCTGTCCTTCCAGGAATGGGAGAAGTAATATCTTTGGGGATGGAAGAATAAGCAAGCAGTAAATAAAAACACAATGTCATCAAACTAGCTCAAATATGACCGCTCTGTGCCTGGTGGGAGCTGGTAGAGTACTGGGCTGGGCAGAAACCCAAGTGGGACAGGTTTGAACTTCTGTGCCTTGCTGATGCTGCTTCTTGGATTTGTAGGTCTTTGGAGGCATGCAGGGTCTCTCTGCCCTTTTTGCCCCATCTCTGGTGGTGAGAGGATTTACTGCTATGACCTGGCTGTAATGGTTTGCTGGCTATGTGCAAAGGGTTACTGAAGAGGCAGATGGTTTTGTAGATGTGTCAAAAGCACCAAGCTGGGTTACATGGACTAGGAGGAAACCCCAAGGATTCCTGAAGTGCAGCCGAGCTGGCTAAAGGCATCCCCTGCTGTGGCTATGAAAGCATGAGAGGCTTCAAGGGAGATTTTTCCCTTCTGTGGCCAAGAGGACGATGAGCTGAGGGGATCCCTTTGCTTTAGCACCCATCCAATCCATCTTCCCCAAGGATGCACCCAGGGAGGTAGGCAGCTGTGCTCCACAGTGAATACAGCACCCATGGACCTGGTGCACATTCCCTCTGGGCTCTGCAAACGTGATGTGATCCTTGGCACCATCAGGTCCTAACCCAGGAATAAAGAGAGCAAAATTCCCACCTGAAGCCTCTGTGCAATATTAATGTCTTCTTACTTTGGCCATTCACAACAAGGCTCAGATCCCTGAGCCTTCCTACAAGGTGGTTTAGTCATCTTTTCTCTCCTTGCCTTAGTCTGTGAAGCTGCCTATGAAGGCAGTTCTGCATGGGCAACACAGATGAGCTTCCTCCTCTTCTACCCTCCTCAGCAAGATCAAATCCTCCTAGCAGAACTCTCTCCCACAAACTTCTCCCCAGAAATGGAACAGCCTTTCAGCGACTGCCAGAAGCAGCAGCCATTCTAAGTCCTAGAAACCTCTGTGACCAGAACACAGATGTATGGGGACAGGTGTGCATAGAGAAATGGGTACAGACCTCACTTCACCAAGTGTCACAGACACTACTGCAGACACAACACGTGGCAAGAGCCCACTATTTCCCCTGTACTCACCAACCCCACTGCAACTGAGAGCCAGCTAAGGTCAGATTCAGTTGTGGAGAGGAGGTGAGGCTTAGGAATAATAATTGCATCCATCATGCTGCTCTCCCATGATGGCTGGATTTAGGCAGCTCTGATTACTCTCATGGCATCCCAACCCAAGAAATGAGCTACAGAAGTTGTGACAAACATGGTGTAGACATCCACCCAGCCAAGCTGCCAGAAATGTGAGTTTCTGGAAAAAGCCTGGTCACAGTGTCATCAGCTTCTGCTGTCAAAACAATGGTCCTACTCAGCCCAGCGCCAAGGGACAGCTGGGATGTGGTTCCACCACAGCACCACCACTACCTTTGCTTTGGTCCTCACATTCACCCTGCTCTTGGCCAGAAAGGAAGGGTGCAGCAAGACACAAATCAAGGCTTAGCATTTGCCAGTGTGAGCTACATGACGTTTAGAACACAGGATCAGCCTGCAATAACTTCAGCCTGCTCCTCTACTGCTTTAGGCAATGGACAGTAGTCATTCCACTCAGACTTCATACATTTCTATTCCTTTCTCTCCTCAGCTTGCCTTATGCTTCCACTCCCAAAATAATTAGCACAGTGTAACCTTTTTGTGGTAAAGAAAAACACCTGAAACTTTCCTACTAATTGCAACAGTAAAACACCTTTCTTTTTTTCCTCCTTTCTATTTGTATTTAAAAAAGAAGAGTAAGATCTGGCACTCACTACATACTGATAAGCAACATTTATCTACCCTGGGGGTACCTTTGCTTATTCTGGTTTGGATGGTTTTTTTAATTGCATTTTCCCACCAGCTCTGAACTTGTTTTCTGGCTGCATAATTTTCCCATGATACATTTAAGATGCATCTGCTATAATTAGTATGATGCAAAGCACAAGCTTATGAAAAACAACTTGTAAATTTTGAATAATTCTACAGCAATTACATAGGTAGGATGGCTTATTTAATGATGGGATTTGTTCCACAGCATGGGAGCCACCACATTTTTTTTTTCAGTGGCTGGAGGGGGACCTGCAGGTGAGAGTCCACTGCTCTTCCCAGAAGTTATGCATCCTGCTTGCATACACAGCCAGCTCTTGGTCGTGGATGCTGTTATTTTACTCCAGTGGGTGAATAAGAAACTCTGAGCCCAACTTATTTTAACAGGCAGAAAGCATCCTCAAATTTAATTCCCCTCTTAATCAGCTACTGTCCTAGTCAGACCAGAATTGATTCCAGCAACTCCTACTCTTCAAACACACCAATAAATCCCTGCTGCCATGATCAGCTGGTGGCATTTTCTGTCCCTTTGCACAAAGACATATTGCTTTTTCACCTTGGAGAGCCAGATGGCCATCAATCACCTCTCCTCAGCCACGCTACCTTGCAGCTCCACCTTGCCACACACACTCTGCTAATAATTACACCTCAGCCCAGAACTCCCAGAGCGGCCACTGAGACCCCCTCTGGAGAACAGGCTCTTGTGCCATGTTACCAGGCAGGGACATCATTCACGAGCAGATGTGACACTTGACAAACTGGTGCTGGTTTTTGATTAGCAGGACTATGATGTCTGCTCCACATGATGCCCAGTTTTCAGTCTCATTAGGCAGGGTGCTGTGGATACTCTTTAAGGCAAAGGATGTTCCCTATGGATCCAAAAATTCAAACAACTGAAGTCAGGAAACTACAAATCTCAATCATGGGAGAAAACTGTTTCTGTTGCAAAACTCCCAGAATATGATTAATTATTGTGAGAGATCCTGGTCATTGCCAGAACACTGGTCTAAGAGGTCTTGCAGAAACATACCACGTCATTTCCCCAAGGATCATTCCACCTCCAAGAAGACTAACAGGCCATGGAATGACTGAGGAATGCCTTTTTGAACCAGCCACAAGATTAAAAAATGGCTCAAAAGCATATCTATGAGGAGTGAGCATGAGTCAATGAATGACAACAACCCCCATGTTTTTAAACCTCCACTATTCCAAACTAGCAGATATTGTGCTGCCAAGACTTTAAAATCAACTCATTACTATGGCATGAAAAATGTCACATAAGCCACCTTCTGTGCCAAGAGCCACATGGTCACCTCCACCATGGAGCGAGACTGTGCCACCAGGAAGAGCAAGGTGACAAGCAGCTGGCAGGACAAGTTGCAAATGTCTGCATATTTATATCTAAAATATGTGCCTGTGTTATGTGGGAGGAAACCCTGCCCTGCCTTTGCCCTCAGGCCAGGATGATCACTGAGGTGGACATGCCAGGAAGCTGTCCGGTTGCATCGGAGTCAACAGAGTGGAGCCAATTTGGCTCCTACAGCAATGGTACTTTTGCTGCAGCCAAATGATAAAACATGACCTGAAAGTCTTGAGGGCAGTTGTTAACACCTAGGAACAGCCACTAGCTAATAGCACACTGGCTTGGCACTCGGGAATCTTCCAGCTGCAGCTCTTTCCAACCTGCAGGATGAACATGGGTGAGAAAGGATCTTACATACTTTTCCTGCAAGCTGAGATAACAGCAGCTCTACTTGTCTCACGAGGTTTGGAGCGAAGTGCAGACAAGGCTGACCCATTTGCAGTCTGAGAGGAGGCTTGCTGAGCACTGGGCTGTATCTGCACCACGCAGCAGGGATCGCCCCCACTCACACCAGTGGAGCGGATCACTATCAGCACTTCCCAGCTGCAACCCCTGACTTCAGTGACTCAGGCATATCTGTTAATTCCAGGTGGGTGATAATGAGCCAAACACACATTTTTTATGAAAATTCAAGCAGTTGTAGGGAATTGGCAAAACCAGACCTGGGCTGCAGAATGTCATTAAGCTGTAAATATGTGCTCTGAATAGGCCTTTTCTTCAGGCATCTCCCAAGACAATGGCACAAACATTTAATGGCATATTTCCTGGACTAGGACTGACTCCAGCAGAATGAAGTGGTTACCACAATTTGCAGGAGCAACAGATATATCCTGCCCATCTCAGCTGGACCCAGCTGTGGTGTGAAATGTGCCCCCAGGCTCTCATTTCTTTTTTTGCAGAACTTTTGTCATATATGATGCTTATTTAATACATATTTTATTGCAGCTCTTCACATTCCTCTTCAGATTATTAAGTGGAACAGAAATACACAAAGCAGTGACAGGGGAAGACTACTTGAGAAAAAGCAGTTTTAAAACCATAACAGCTTTTGTGGTTATGCTGATTATGGAAGTGAATATGGAAAGTTCTGCCTGCATGGAAGATGCCAGTTCCATATCTAGATCAGAGCTGTGGATTTTGCTGCTGTGCCAGGCACATGAAATGGAGACACCACAATAAAGAAAATGACTAGGCCAAAATCTTTTGGGCATCAGGGCCTTCTCTTTTTTTTCCAGCAGTTTAGACTGTTCTCAGTCAAACAGCAACTTCCCTGCTCAGCTCCATTAGTAGTATCAAACTGGTGCCACACATTGACCACTTTTCCTGCCCAGTGCATAGGCAGCCTGGGAATCTGCAATGCCTACCTTCACTTCCACATGTGCCATCAGGACTGCAAAGTTGGTGAGGTGGTTGCAGGAGCACGTGGTGTGTGTCTTGTTAGTTGTCAGGAGGCGACAGCCCTGGGTGGACCAATACCCTGTCATCGTACGCTTCGTGTAGCTCCAGAACGAACAGTTTGGGTTAAAATTTTCTTCTGACTGCTGCAGGAAAGAAGTTAATAAATGCAGTAACAATGATAGGCTCTCAGAGATGTCTAAATGCACTATTGAGGCTCTTTGTAACTCTCACCCTTTAATTTTAGATAAACAATTAGCAGTGGTTTATACGTCAAGTATTACTTGCCAATACCAGAGAAAGTTAAATTGTTGCTGCACTCTTTGCTAATGCAAACTTACTTCTTTGTTCTTGATTAATTTCAGACATTGACTAAATCCAGCTCTTCAAAACCAGACTGCTTCATTTGCATTGCAGAGCAGAGAAATTAATTGCTTTGAGCAATCAACTTTTGCAACAACCAAGCTTGGCTAGCAGGAGGACTAGCTGTCCTCTTTCACTGTAATTCCACTTCCCTCTAACATCCCCTGCCACCATGATAAAATAACATTATGGTCTATTCTAATTTATTGGTAGTTTTTAATTACAGAATGATGCGTGTCAGCAACCGAGCAATGGGCATCAGCTCAAAGGAGACACTTTCTTTACTTCTATTAATGCAATGTAAGAGACACCTTCTCCATAAATAACACAAAGTGCAAAGGAACAAAAGTATAATTCAAAATCTAATCAAGGACTGCTGGGGGCCTCACAGCAGCCAACTTTTGCACCATTTCATTTCAGAAACAAAAAAATAAAAAAAAAGAGAAGTGCTTTCTGAACTCACACACCTTGATGTGCTTGACAGTGAACACCACAGGATCAGCCAGGTAAACCTTATTGCTGAACTCCTTATTTATTGCTGCCGTGATGACAGGGGAGTTGACAATGACGGAGTGATTGGTCGACATCGCTTCTGTTCCCAACTTCATGCTGGCATTCTCCGTGGAGAGATAAGTGCCCAGGTTGTTGTACAGCACAAAAGCCACCCTGATCTCACCTAGAAGAGAGGTAAGAGGTTAGACAGCCAGGTTGAGTCACTGGGGTGGCTTTTTGTTTCTCAGATTGCAAATCTTTTCTCTTAACCAACTTCAAAACTGCGCTGAGAAAATGTGAAAGGACAGGATGTGGCATACGAAAACCCATCTCTTGCCAATTCCAGTGAGCACCAAGAAGTGCAGCAAGCAGTCCTTGGATAAGAAGGGCAGAGCTCCTTCTTCCAAAAGAAACTTTTATAAGCAAACAGATGAGCGGAAGACAGACAAGGAAGGTGGGCTTATTTTTGGCATCAAGAGGTGTAACTGGCTTCAGAAGAAAAGAGGCCAGGTGGTCCATTTCCCACCTGACATCACTTTATTCTCCTGGATATACCTGGGAAACATGTTTCAAGATGACATGTTGCACAGATGCAGTATAAAACTATAATTTAGTCTGGTAATAAGTTAAGACTATCTCAGGAAAATGTAGGGACAAATCTGAAAGAAGAAATCAAAACCATTCCAACAGAATTCCAATCTCATTTGACAGGTAAAACAAAATTTCAGACATTTCATTTAAAAATATTTTTTCTCTTAATTTGGCAATCAGATAATCAGAAAAACACCATTAGAGAGCCTGCAGAAATCTGAGTCTACCAGCCAACTGTTTTTAACCGAATCCATCCAGTTTGCCTTCTGTTTTGCACATTATTTCACAGTCTATAAATAAGAATGGAATGTGATTAGTTTGCCTTCATATGTATTAGTTGTGGAGAGGTATGTTTTTGTTTCTATATGAATCACCACAGCATCTGAGGAAGGTGAGACACTGATGACTCCAAAGGTTCCTCCCAGCCTAAATCCTTTTATGATAATTCCATTTGCAGCTTTGAACTCCAGTGATACTGTGTCTCGAAATACAAAACTTTCCTTTCATTGTTGACAACAAATAGCAAAGTCCTGCCCTGTTGGAGTTTTGCTACACATCTTGAGCTTTAAACTGCCTCTAAAAGAGGTACTTCTCCATTGCTATGTGCAAGCAAGACAATGGCAAGACTTTGTGTCTGAACCACCAGACTGAACTTTGTCTAAAATTTTTATGTTTAGACATTTTAACACATCTGGTCTGGTTGTAATGCTGCCCTATCATTCCATGGTTTTTTGCTTTACACAGAGGAAGGTTAAGCACTGGCACAGATTGCCCAGAGAGGCTGGGAATGCCCCATGCCTGGAAGTGCTCAAGGCCAGGTTGGATGGGGCTTGAATAACTTAATCTAGTGGAAAGTGCCTCTGCTCATGGCAAGGGGGTTGGAACCAGATGATCTTAAGGTCTCTTCCAACCCAAGCCATTCTATGATTCTGTGTTTTGAATGCAGTGACCAAAACCTGTATATGAGTGTTGTCCCCTGCACATAGATTACATTTTAAAGGAACTCAGAAACAGGAGCATGTTGGGCCCACCAATAGAAGCCTATGAGTTTAAGGTTGGTCTGCACTGAGGCTGTAGAGATCAACAAATGTGTCTGCTCAAACTCCTGATCTGGAAATAAATGCCTTGGCAGGATGAAGACTGTTCGCATATAACATCATCTACAATTTATGCTTCACCAGGAGGTTCATAAGATACAGAAAGGCACTAAAGATTTAGACTCATAACAGTTAATCAACCTTTTCTGCCATGTTGGCTCATTATTAATATTTCCTACCATTGTTTCTTCCCTGTACTTTTTCAGATATTTGTATGGTGGCCTGCTGTGAAGCAGTTTACTCAAATGAGCCTCTTATCCCATCTGAAGCCTCCTACTGCAGAAATCAGCACTTAAAAGCACTTCTCTGGATTCAGCACTGTGCCCCAGAAGCCCCCTAATTTGAGGATCTGATGCATTTTTACCATCACAAAACACTTTTGAAGGCTGTGAATCACTTATCAATAGAATACATTCCCAGTCAGCCAATGTAGCTTGCAGTCAAGGGCATGAGCAAATGACACCACTGTTAATTTAAATATTAACACAGCAATTAATACTTTACTTATAGTGGTTAAACACAAAACAATGCCTAAGGCATGGCTGCCTCATGAGGCTGGAGTGGCCTGAGGTGCCAGACCTACCATTTCGACCATTTTGCTTCAAGGTATTTGCTGACAGCTGAATGGCGCTTCCATGGCCCATGTTCTGGGGAAACTTCAGATCCTCCAGATTCCCATCTGTGCTCAGTCTCGCAACTTCCAGCTCTGTGCAGGAGAGACAGACACTAAGAAAAAAATCTCTGCCGAAATGATCTTCAACACGGTATTTCAAAGCTACAAAATGGTGTTCCAGACCAGCTGAGAGGAGGGGAATTAACTTACAATGCTGCGTGCTAGAATGTGTTTGGGCTCCTATTTCTTTTTAAATCTTTGCCCTGAAGAAGTTTTAAATTTAATTAAAAAAAAAAAAAAGCGCGCAAATAAATTCTACTCTCTGTGGAAGACAAAAGACAACCGGTTCTTGTAAACAAGAACCTCAGGATATTAAGGACAACGGTTAAAATGAAAATCTGAGAATACTAGTTCTTTGCCACTGGCGATTGGTACTTTCTGTAAATGTTATCAGTGCTCAGGATCTGTATTCATGGAAATAGAAAGAAGAGTTGTTCTCATTTTACATATGCACAGTGGGAGTGCTGGTGCTTTCCATCATGCTTGTTTTTAATTAAAATCAACAATCAGCTGAATAAAGACACAAATTTGTATGAAATGAAATACAATTGCCTTACGATGAACAATCCCCCTGTGAAGCTCTGCTCTTGTTGCTCTAGCACAGATTATACCCTCAAAGCCGGCAGTAATAAAGACAGGTCAGGCGCTCATTTTCCATGGGATTTCAAGGGTAGAGAGCTGCCTTACTCCTTTAGGCTCTTTTGGAAAGACTTTGAAGTCCTTCAGACAGAGGCCCAAGACATATCTAACGAATCGCTCCCCAATTAATCTAGGGACCAAACCAAAGCCGGGCTTCACAGCCTTTACTCTTCTACTGTCTGCTCCCAGTACTGATGGGATCTGCCCCTTACGGATGTTGTCAGTGTTCTCCCGGACGATGTCTGTCTTCAGCAGGTTGTCAGCCAGCACGAAGGCGCTGTCCTCCACCGTGTCCAGCAGCTTGGTGGCTGCGCGCTGCTGCTCGCTCGCGTTCAGGTCCCTCCACGCGTTCAGAGCCTGAGGCTGCAGGAGGTTGTTCACCGTCTCCACCATGGCCTGCAAGGTGGGAGGATGGAGTGAGAAAAGACTCCAGCAAACCTAAAGCACCACAGACCTCCGACATATGCTCAGTCCCAGCCTCCACACACACCAGTTTACAGGGGGATGACAGCATCTCCTTCCCCCACCCGTTTGGGAAGCCTGCAATGGAGCAGGACAACTTTTATACCATCAGATGGGACAGGGAGGAAATACTGATATTATTATAAATGCAGGCTGGGAATGGTGCTTTTATGCTTCCATAACCATCAGCTCTGGACTTGGAAAAAGGAGGAATTAGGGCAGGTGGGGAAGGAGGGGTAGGAGGAAGATGATGGTTAAGGAAACATGCAGGAAAAACCCAACTGCAGCACCAGAACTCAAGAGCAGGGCTGGGGCATGCAAGGAAGGTGTTTGGTATCTGCAAAGGCTACGCTCCCTCAAATATTTCCCAGCACATAACTTCTGGCAGGCAGCCATGAAGATACAGAGATAGCTGAGTTACACCACTTCATCCAGAGCAGCAGCAGCATGTGCCCGTAGAGATTTAGATAAGACACTACATCTCAAATCTCTGCATTCAGGAAGGAGCCAGCCCTGCGGAAACTGCTTCAGTCCCTCCTACAGTGCACCTTCTGTCCTGGGCTGCCACACAAAGAGCTCTCCCATGGATAACTTCCCACAGGTTAATCTGGATGCACACACAGGATCACACAAAACTGCACTGGTCTCATAACTGCAAAATTACTGCAGTAGAATTTACCCAAACCGAAGGCTTTTCTCCACCTAAATCCTCTGCTTCCTTACTAACCATAGCTGACTCAACCCCTTTTCAGTGAACATTTTTTAATGAGACCAGCTGTACCAGTTGATAGAAATGATTGTGCAGAGGAAAAGGATAAAAAAATAAGCTACTTTGATCATGCTTTCTTCAGCTGGTTAGGGTCTAGTCACCAGGCAGGCCTACCCCACAGAGAAACACCTCCATGGCCAGCTAAGGCTGACTGCAGAAATCAACCTCCCATTCAGCTGCTGTTTGTAATTATTTTCTTTATGCTGAGCACATAGGCATCAAACTCACTCCTCTGCTCTGCAAGCTGATGACAGTCCCATGGGACTTCAGCATTTTCCAAGCCTAAAGTGTGCCCTATGGGCTCACTGTCATGGGAATACTTCATTATTTATTCCTGATACTGTTGCTAAACCCACGGGTGGAAAGAAGCTGTGGCATAGCCCATTCTCCATCAGAGCCCTCAGGAGGAGGGCTACAATGGCAACACGTGGCACAGAGAATCCTGACTCACTCACCAGTCATGGTCAGGTGCAAATGAGCAACAGGAGGATATGATCACATCAAACTAGAATTTATTGCTATATCCACATGACCTTAACAAGCATTTCAATTACAGCAAGGTTTGAGGAGAAAAAAGGCAGCTAGAACTGCCACTGTTGGCGCTTTTAAATCCCAGCAAAGATACCTTTGAGTATGGAAGGTTTCTCACACCATCAGGTTTCCTGTTGGGAGACTGCACCATAATTGGGCTCCTCTGACAGCACAAAGCTCCTACTTTCACAGTTACATTTATTCATGGTCAATTAACTCATTTGTTCTTATGCCAAACCTCTCCTATACCATAAACAAAACAACACATTCATTTAAGTGGAACTTGATAAGCATAAAGCAATTTTTTAACTGATTGTTAAACTGATTTTCCTGAATAGTCTAAAAATTATCTTAACACATTTGCTATCCATTTGCAACAAGCAGGTTAAAATTAGTAGTCAATAAGAAACAGAAAAATCCATAGCATTTCAATCTGATATTTTTCTGTGTTTTAGAGTTTGGAAGCCTGATCTCTGCAGCTCTTAATAAAATTCTGTAGTATATTATGGTAGCTTAACTCTTCACAGGCAAAAAAAGAGGTGGTGTTCTTTCCCACTGACCAAAAAGCTTGATTATTTTGTGGTGCAGCTTCTACACAATATGGTGTAAAGACCTTTTATGCCTGGAAAGTAGAAAATGAGGATTTTTCTCCCCTTTCAATGTTATCACACAATTTGCCTTACCTCCATTTAGCTCAGCTCCTACCATTGTCTTAAATTCTCTGCTAAAACAACATCCTGCATACTTTTATCAATATCTGAATGGTGGAAAATGTCTTTGCAGCAGATCCAGCTCCTGGCTCTGGATAGAAAGGTAATGTCTATTCATCAGACTATGAAACAGATGCTGAAATATTTGCATTACAGTGAAACATCTGCTGCAAAGACCTTACCTCAGAAAAAACTATTTTATCTAATGCATTAGTTTTTTTTTTGTTTTGTTTTACATGTGCACATATGTGTGCATGCAAGTTTGAGAGAGAACACCAATTAAGCCTAATGTGCCGCTTCCTGCACCATGTGCACTCCCCACCAAATGCTGAGCACCATCCTCTGGAAGTGATAACCTGAAACCAGCCACTTCACATCACTTTGGGTCTGGGGTCAAACACAAAAGCTCCAGGAAGATTTCCAAGGGCTTTGGGTCACGTCCTTGCCATGCATCTGAGCAAAGCTGGTAGACTGTCTTTGTTGGCATTACATCCGAGATTAATTTAGTCCCCAGCTTTTCCCAGAGGGTCATTCCCCTCACCTGTCTCAGTGCATTAATCAAGTGTTCCCCACATTATATTTCTGAGTGCAGCACTTCATTATGGCCGAGTGCTGTGGGCTGAAGCCAAGGAGATGAGGTGCTAATGAAATGTTTGCATTTTGGACAGGAGCTGAGGTAGGTGTTTAAATGAAACAAAACAGCTGTTATAGCAACAGTGCCTTGTGAGACAGAGATGCCAACTGGGAAAAGTTGGGCAGGGGAGTGGGAGTTGTGGGAAAGCAGGCACACATGACAAGGATAGGCCTATGTCTTTACATTTAAGCTGGGCCTTTGTGATTTACAAGGGTTTGGCACCTGGTCCATTGACTCTGTGGTCTGATGAAGCTCCAGCATAGAAGAAACAGCTGTGCCAAACTTCCAGGAAAACCTCTCAGTGACCAGCTGGAGGAGGTTTAGCCCTGAGAGAGAACCTTCCAAATGCAGAAGGCATGGGATAGGAGCACTTGGGAGCTGATGGCTTGATAGGTTTTACCTGAGATCTCTGGGGATCCTGATAAAGGTGGGACTTTCAGAGGGAAAGTTCTGACCTAGTTTCATCTCACACCACGTCTAGCATTTAATGTGCAGCCAAGTAGGGAGCCCAGATACTTTCCAGTTTCTCTTTCCCCATTGAAAGTAGAAGAAACTACCCCAAGGATTATCTCCATTTCACACAAAACCACAAGAGACCAAACCCATCCATAAAGAACCAAACATCTGTTACAGGATGCTGCATGACCTTGATTGAAGACCCTGTCCTTGCTTCCCAAGCTAAAGAACTACATCTCCCATGGTTTTCTGCTCTTCCTCTGCCTCATCCCTCTTCCAAATGCAACTCATCTGAGATTCTTGCAAAATAAAAATTTGGTGCTTGGAGCTCAAACGTACCTCAACACCACACACAGCACGGCACCAAACCAATGCTGTGATTACTTGGACTTAAAGAGTAGACAGCACAAGCACACAGATGCACCAGGAGAAGGACAAAAGTAACTCAAATTAGATCAAGAGAAAGCTTTCATAAAGCACAGCTCGCTTGTTTATAGGCTAAGATCAAATGAGGGAAGAAGAGCATGTTAGAAGGGAGCCAAGAGGGCAGACTTTCCGTCTTTCTGTGCTGAGATACACAGCACAGCTTTATGCTCTCTGTGATGTCAGGGTATCTATACATGCAAAGCCAAACCCTCTAATTACCAGCCTGTAAAGAGCAACCATCCTGGGTCACTGAATTTTAGACACAGTGGACCTTTCATGTCCCCAGCAGTGACTGCAACTGGACATCAAGAGAAGAGCAAGACCCTGCTGAGCACAAAAGACAAATCCCGTGATGGTGATGCCTTTCATTGTGTGCTTATATAGAACCACAGACTGTATGTTCTATGCAAATAAATGTTAATAAATTGCAGACAGAGGTTTTTCCCAAATAAGGGCATGCGCTCGTGGTTTCTTGGTTCTATCCCGAGGTTACAAAGAAGAATCAAAATATAAACCTTCCTTCTTAGACACTTACAAATTGGTATTATAAGATGCATTGTAAAAAGGACATTAATTAGAAGCCTTACAGTAATTATGCATTACTAAAAGGCCAGTTGTACGTATCCCCATTGATTTCCTTTGTGACAGCTGCTACATTTCATTAAACTGAATTTTGCTTGTTCATTTATTCTTCTCTTCTCTTCTCTTCTCTTCTCTTCTCTTCTCTTCTCTTCTCTTCTCTTCTCTTCTCTTCTCTTCTCTTCTCTTCTCTTCTCTTCTCTTNTTCTCTTCTCTTCTCTTCTCTTCTCTTCTCTTCTCTTCTCTTCTCTTCTCTTCTCTTCTCTTCTCTTCTCTTCTCTTCTCTTCTCTTCTCTTCTCACCTGGCTACGTGGCACACAGTTAAAACCTCGGAGGTTTGCACTCTGTATATATCCAATGATACCATATCTGTTTAATTTTCTCTCACTGTACCAACATCCAAGACACCACTTTTTGATTAAAAAGAATTTTGCAATGTAAAATCTCTTTTCAAATGGGACTCAACACTGAAAATCACTCAGAGATGTTAGAGGTACTCAGATCATTGCCAAATTTGGCACTAGACTGCAATGTGCCATGGTGCTTAAGTACAGCAGCCCTAACCTTAGAAAACCAGCAGCTTTCCTAGAGTTAGGATCTCTTTAAACCTTTTTTGTTCATTTTGGCCTTTTGCCGAGCAGCTGATAGAAGATCAAAAATCTCAACAAACCTACAGCTGGAGAAAATACTGCTTTATGGCAAGTGAATACCAGCAGGTCCTACAGGGAATATTGGTTGAATCCTTCTGTTGAGTAGTTTTCAAATATGCAGTTTGTCCTTCCTTACAAAGGAGCATCTCCTTAAGAAGAGACTAAAACACACTTTATTT